TATATATATATATATATATATATATATATATATATATATATATATATGAATTGGAGGTTTAATCAGCCAAAAATAAGAGTGAAATTATGTCATTAGCTGAAAAATGGATATAAACAAAGATTATCTGATTAAGCAAAATAAGCCAGACCCAGAAAGCTAAATATCATGTGTTTCTTTGTGGTCCTAGATTTTACATAGGTATATAAATCTCATCTACAAAACAGAAGTGAGACTATCTGGGAAAGAATGGGGATCAAGAGAGGAGAGAAAGGGGAACGTATGGGAGAATGAATATGGTCAAAATACATGACACACTTGAATGAAATGTCTTTAGGAAGCTCATCACTACGTACAAGGAATACGTCAATAAAAAGCAATTAAAATAAAAGTATTTCTCCCAGAGAAAGCATTCTTCTGCTTTCAGAATGCTTAAAAAAAAAGTAAAGATAACTCCATAAAAAAAAAAAAGCAAGACTCTTCTTCAGATCATATGTCAACATAATGTGCTGCTTTTTTCTTTCTTTGTGAAGTGACGGGAAGAAAAAGGATGAGTAAGTCAGTGGAGAGAAATGAAGACATAACAGGATCATGGTACATTCACAGAAGTCTGAGAAGGATGGGTGAAGAGCAAATGCTCGCAAGTTCTGAGAATTCCACTTTTTTTTTTTTTTAATGTACCCATATTTCCATCTTGTGGTCTCTGAGGGTATTTCCACAGCAGGAGTCTAGAGATGAGATGTATGCATTGTAAGCATGAGTGGGAAGCACCTATCTGCATACATTCTTAGGGGCTGTAGACTTTAGCCAGGGACAAGAGGCCACAAAGATAGGGCTTTCCACCAACCAAAGACGCTTAGGCTTGGTGGGAAGCCAGCCAAACCAAGGGAGAAAAATGGACAGAATGGAAGCACATGGGAATCTGATGGAAAAGATTTCCAGGAAAACTGAATCTTGACAAAAGGGAAAAGTTCATGGTGGACAGTGCTTGGAAGAAAACAAAACAAAACATGGTACTCCTTGGGTTTACCTTTCGGGGCACGTAGGTCTTCCTTTCGTGGGGACGTAAACTTGAAGAGATGAAACACAAAGATGCTATGCCAACAGCGAATGAGAAAGAAGTTTGCTGCACCAAAAACTAATAAGCGATTTGAAGGGTGGTGCTGGGCAAGTGGCTTAAAAGAAAAGAGTTGAGAGGCTGCAAGCTGATCCTTGGGTTAGACTGCATATAGGTGATGGGCTTCTACCTAGGCCTGCGTGCTCATGTCATTACTGGTACATCTCCTGATAGTGAGAGACATGGCCAAGAACTTAGAGAGTCTGGGGGCTGCTGGGGTTCAGTGGAGACTGTAGTAATCACAGAAGACATGTTGGCTAGTGCCAGGCACCACGGATGCTCTGCGCTCAGTGTCCACTTCCAGTTCCCCACCTCTCCTCCTCCTTAATCTTTTTGAACTTGAAGCTACTGCAAAGGCAGTAAACAGACACACGGGGGGGGGGGGGGGAATGAGGAACAGAAAGGGAGAGATGGAATCATCTGTGGTAGGAACACACTGGGATTTGCAGCAAGAATAGCCACAAACTTTCCCCCCCCCTCTCCTACCTTGTGCAGGTCAGTTTGGTTTGGATTTTCTATCATATTACTAATAAGCTTGAATCATAGCTACAGTCCCTCCCCTGACTCAAGTTTGGCCTCAGTCATCTTACTTCCTTGCCTGGGAGATGAGTTACTGGAGAGCCAAGTTTCTCACTGGAAACTTCTTTCCCTTAAAGCCTTACCCTGCTCCTGTAGCATTTTCAAAAGCCAAGGTCTTCCTTTCACGGGCCATAGATGTGAAGAGATGAAATGCAATGATATTTACCACCCAGATAGTGTCCCTTAATTCGTCTTCCTTAAAATTCTGCCACTCAAGCCTGACTCCTGAAGTCCTTGCCGTAGCTTAACCATCTGCTTTGGTAGTGGTTCAATGTGAAGAAGGAGGTTCGGGTATCCCACAGAGATTAGAAACTTTGGTTGGCAGTGACATTTGGGTGAGATTTTTCCACTTCAGGGAGGGCTGGGAACCTGTGATCTCTGGCTCGTTTTATGATTCTAGACAACTACTCCTCAGAACTGCATGTGGATTGCTACATTAACACACACAAGTCATGTGCTCTCTGTTTCTTAGTATCTTCCCTGAAAGGTGTATGGTGGTTGGGATCTGTATGCAAGGCTGTTTTACTTATCATTCTTTGTCAACTAATTGATTATGAGTATATTACGATACCACTATGATAAGAGCTGAGGAGATGGCTCAGCCAGTAAAATGCTTGTGCGATGACCTGGGTTCTGATTTCTAGCGCATACATAAAAGGCCGGACACAATGGCACATCTCTATAGCCATAGCATGGAGGGAAGGAGGAAGAGGCAGACACAGGAATCTCACTGACCATCAATGAGCCCCAGGCTTAGGGAGAGACCTTGTCTCAAAAAATTAGGTGGAGATCTATTAAAGAAGACACCCGACTGTTGACCTCTTACCTCTGCATGCATGTGACACACGTGCCCACACCCACACATGAACACACATCACACACACACCCCACACAGACTATTACTGTGATAACCACACATTTGTTCCTAGCTTGCAAGTTTACAACTCGTTTTCGTATCTCATTTTGTTTTTAAGAGAAACTTGGGCGGACAGCGGGTTAGACACAAGGCCCATGTTACGGGGGGGGGGAGGCAGCCACTTGGAGAGTTTTGCCTTGCCTAAGTTCACAGCTTCAACGCAGCTGCTGAAACTGAACCGTCTGACTCGGGCTCAAGGGCTACCCCACTCCATTCTTATGCCGTCTCTCTGATACATTTTGGAACCGAGAAAACATACAAACAGTGTCAAACCGAGTCCAACTGAGAAAACCAGAGTTCACAGTGAAGAAATGAGCAGCTGTGTAGGATGCGACCCAGACTCGATTGTTTGCTTCAGAAGTTCATGAGAGGACAACCATTGTGATGTCACTTCTATGTGTAACTCAAAACCCCAAGACAACTAAAGGACTAACCCATGAAACCCCGGCAAGACCGTCACCTAGCTCCTAATGGTTCCGTAGTTAGGGCTACTGTTTCCCTTTGAAACACTCACCTTTTCAGGTCTGCTGTGCCTTTCCTATGTTTGTGTCCCAGGCATGTGCTCAGCTGGCCAGCTGGCCAGTCCAGCCCAGGCTGAGTGGCAAGCACGGCGTCGGAAGACAGCACCGCCTTCCGACTTGTTGGTAATACAGAACGCAATGGGCATTAGACACATGCCGGTTATTCGAAAGGAAAAGCATCTTTAACTCGGGTGTTTTTCAAACCACTCTAGGTCGGCTCCCAGACACTTGAGAACTTTCAGGAGCACTGCCTCAGGTGTTCTGGACATCTGCCTAGTGGACACCTGAGCTGTAGCTTTCCAGAGACAGTTAATTGAACACCATCAGTTTTGTAGGAGTCAGTTTCTCATATGTTTGAAAAGGTTTCATGGATCCAAGGCCCTACTTGGTGCTCGTTTTGATATTCCAATTTCTGTGGTGACTTTGACGACTCACCTTCCCTGTCTTAACTGATTTAGAATCACCTAGGAGATGGAGACATGTCCCTGAGTATGATCACAATGACCACAAATGTGCCTTCAGACAGGACTAGCTGAGGAGGAAAGGCTTACTCTGATTCTGGGACCAGCCCCCTTGCCCGAGGGCCTGGCTAGAATGGGAGGGGAAGAAGACGGTAAATTGGTTCTTGTCTCTGTTTCTTGGTTGGCCAGGAAGTGGCCAGGAAGTGAACAGCTCTTTTATGCCACATGCTATTATAACTCTGATGTCCTTCCCAAGCACATGGGACCAAATGTCCCATAGAGCGAGCCAACCCCTGGGAACCATGAGCCCAAATACATCCTCCTTTCATTTGCTCTCTCGGGTACTTCCGGTCACAGTGCCCTGAAAGCGAATAACGCCGGGTCCCCCCGATTCGGCTTTATCGCACAGAGGACTGCTAGCTAAGGGAGAGACTTACCTGCCAGGCCTCAACCTTCTTGATGTCTGCACAGGACCCGTTGGTGAAAAGCCCTCTCCCGGGTAAGCAGGTGTAAATGTCCTGCAGGGCGTGGGCGATGGAGTAGACGGCTAAGTACACGTTGTAGGAGATCCGTAGGTGTTCGTAATCCATGTAGGGGGTCTCGACACTGCTAATGTTCTCATCCCCCGTGCAGAGGGGTCGGAAGGCCGTGGAGCTGTTGCTTAGCCTGTTGCCAGCTTCCTCGTGATTCCTCACGAAGCTGTCCACAGGTAAAGGTCCTTTAGCGCCCTCCTGCAGGTGGCAATTGAACGTTTCTTCCCAAAACTCTTTGGCAAAGCCATTGTGGGCAGACTTCCTGGGATGGACCTTCTGTAGGAATTCTCGGAAGCCGGGAATCTGCCCAGCCTTCAGGCCGAACCCAATGGTGCCCCCGACCACATGGAAGTACTCCGGCATAGCAATCAGGGAGGAGCTGGCCCAGGCCTCGCTGGCCAGCCAGATGCGGCCTGTGATGTTGCGACGCACGATCTCCTTGATGAGGGGCTCTAGGTCTGGGCCGCTGGAGAACACGACAATGACCTTGACCGTGGAGTTCTGGATCACCTCCACCACCTGCTGGATCTCCTTCTCACCGGAGTACTGGGAGATGAGCTCGCTGAAGTCAATGCAGATGTCCCTCTCCTCGGCCTCCTCCCGGAACTTCTCAATGCCCGGCCGGCCGTAGTCATCATCCGCTGCAATGGTGCCCACCCAGTTCCAACGGAAGTACTCGATGATGTCAGCCATGGCAGTGGCCTGGTGCTCGTCGTTGGGGATGGTGCGGAGGAAGGATTTGAACTGGTTCTTATTGCTGAGGAGCCTGCTGGACGAGGCGTAACTCACCTGGGAAGAACCGAGAACTCGGGGTGAGCGTGAGTGACGTGCCAGCTGAGTCTCAAGCCTTAACCTCAGGTCACCTATCAAACGGGTTCCATGTGGGCCGGATGGAACGGTGGGAAAAATCAGGCAGTTCCTCCCCAGGGGGAGCCTCCAAGCACCCGTTAGTTTACTGGTGGGGGGGGACTTCCTAGTTCTTGGTACACAATTCTTTGTGATGATGCCTTCAAAACTGGCTCTAGCAGCAGACCTGACTCTTCCCTGGGGGGAACGCTCTTGCGCCGTTTCCTGTGCCCAGTTGGTTATACCAGATCCGTGTGCTCACTTGATGTGTTTTGCCTGTTGGGCCTGGGTTCTGATCTGAACATTATGGCTTCCCCCTTACTGTTATCAATGCTTTGTTCAGAACCCACCTCTGGGAGCACCAGTTTCCAATGGTTAGAAACGGTAGACTCTTTACAGGACCTCCCCACCCCCATCCGAGGAGTCCTTCCTCCTACTCTGCTCATTGTTTTCCCCATTCCCATTTCCCATTTCCCAGCAACCCCCCCCCGCTCTTTAGATAAAATTAACACCACTTACAGTAATCCCCAAGAGCTGTTTAGCTTTTCTGCTCAGTTAAGTCAGTCAAGCTCAGTGTATGAGCTCAGTGGTCCCGCCCTTCAGTAACGAACACTGTTAACTATCCTCAGAAAGACACCTTTTCTTCTCCTGGCTTCTCAGTGGTTCGGCTAGCATCCAAAGCCCCTTTCTTTCCTCAGCTGCAGGTGAGAACTAAGACTACTTGTCCAGCCTCTGACGTGAGCCTCAAAAATACAGAGGCTGAAAAAGAGGCCCGGAGAAGATGCGCTGTTGAAAGGTCCCCCACTCTGAGCTGTAGGCAGCGCTACATTTGCTCATGGGTGTCCATCAAGGAAAGGAATTCTTTGATGTTCGGAGCCCAGATAGCATTAGGCTGGACAGAGTTCTGCAACGTTTTTAAAAGTATCATGGCACAGAAGACGGGCAATGGAAGAGCTGATGAACCCTAGTGGTAATGTTCAGGCTCTCCTCTCCCCAGGCCCTACTTGATGCCTAAAAGTTGCAGAGAATCAGCACCCCTGTTTGGGCCCCAGGAGCACCCCCGGGACTCATCACAGCTCACCAGCTAGGGAGTCCCAAGTTATTAGAGCATTTCTTCTGATGAACAGAACAGCTTTCCATTTAATAGAGTCCTTCTGGGAAGTGAAGTAGCACTTAACAGTGTTGTTCACTAGTTTCTTAATGGACCCCTGAACTTTTTCAGAATGCATTCTTGAACTTCTTCAGAAAATAAGTCAAAGAAATCTACAGGAATGCTTTTCCTATAGTTCTTACTAGTGGAAACAATCAACTCTGCTTTGGCAATGTTTTAAGATAAACACTTCCAACAGGCTTTTTTCTTCTTTCATCAATTAAGAGTCTTTATACAAAAACATCAAAGATACTGGCCTATGAAAGACTCAACCATGTCTGCCAAAGGCAAGCACAACTTTTCTGACAAGCGCTTTGATCTTAGAAGCTATAATATGGGACTGACAACTTGTTTGTCGGAACAATCCCCTCCCATTCCCACAGGACGTCGTGATCTAGGTGAAGCGAGTTGTGTATGTGTTATTAATTCTCGAGAGCCTGTTTGGAGGTTCTAGTAGGGGAACATAGCTATTCACATACCCTCAACTGACTGGCCTTTCACTATTCAGGGAAGGGCCTCCTTGACCACGTGAACAGCTTCAGGTAGAATGTACGTGGAATGGTGGGAGAGGAAGGGAACACCAGCCTCACCAACCAGATCGGCTGACTCAACACTGACAAGCAATTGCTTGACACGTCACAGCCGGATCACCTTCCCATCTGTGTTATTACTTTCTGAAAGTTTTGCTTGTAGATTAAAAAAAAAACAACAAAAAAAACCCAAAAACCTGGCTTCAGTTCAGAGCCAGGAACTTACCCTAACATCTACCCATTATTGCTCATTTCCTTTGGGAAAAGCAAAACAAAACAAAACACAGACCAAAAATATTTATAAAAGGACATAAAACCCAAACTATTTCTCATGGGTATATTCTCTTAACATGTTTCATATAATATTTTGACTGTTTTCAAATGACAACCTGTAGAGTCAAGCAAATGTCACTCAGTGTCCTCCAGGAAAAAAAAAAAAGCCTTTAAAATCACATCAAACTTTTCTCGACAGAGGGGACAACTACATGGGTCATTCAGATAGCTGTTCTTCTGGCTGGTCTTTTTGTCACATCTGCACGGTGGCATGACTGACATGGTAACAGGGATGGCCGTGTGGCTTCCTAGCCCTGTAGCGCTAGGAAGGATCGAAGTTGGGCTGTATCCTAGTCTATCAACGCATGAGCTCTTCCGTGTGGGCCCAAACAGAGGGATCGTTTCATCTTCCTGAGTCATTCTAACTTGAAGCCACAACAAAGGACTCCTGCTGAAGATGAGTATGTTAGTTTGACTCATCGTCAATCATCTTCGTTTTTCAGACTGTCTCTCTGTGCGGTCAGTGTTGCTGGGGATATTTAAATCCGGCATGCTGTGCAGCGTTATTTTAAATGCACCGTGAAGGTGGTACGTTGAGACAAGAGTATCACTCAGTGGGTAGCCCTGGAACTCACCATATAGAGCAGGCTGGTCTCCCAACTCACAGAGACCCACCTGCTGGGGCTGAAGGTGTGTGTGTCAGCACACCCAGCCAGCTGCAGTCTTACCACTGACATCTCACATACTCTTGTCTTCCGTTCTAGCCCTGCAGAAGTGGCGCTCTCCCTTCGCGTTCTTTACCTGACACCATTCCCATCTTCTGCCACTCGGCCATGGCTGACAATTTACCTTCGTGCTGTACCATAATGCTGCCCTGCCTTCCAGATTTAAACACTCCCAGCACACCGACTAATGCAGACTGGGTCAGAGCATTTTGGTACAAAAAGGACAGAAGTAGGACAAGAATGCTTCCACTGTTGCAAGTCTGCAAAAGCATTAGTCTGTCAGCCAAGAAGCAGACCCCTTGTGACAGAAATGGAAGTTTATTCATATGGATTTTGAAGTATTAAATTTTAAATATTAAACACTGAAAAAAATTGAAGTCTGACCTCTTAATTTAATTTACAATTGAAAGCCATATCATAACCAAGCTGATCCTATTTTCTTATGAATGGACATTTAAGCTTCTTGTAGTTTTTCACTCTGACAAAGTGATCTGTAGTTATCGATTCAAAGACAAGTTGGCTTGATAGTCATAGTGCTAAAGGAGAAAATTAGGTTATAAAATGGCATTTGGAGTTTGTTGTTTGGCATGAGGGAAGAGGACTACAATTTTGGATCGATGCTTATAGAACATTTTGATGAATGACTGAGTATTTGAAAACCCACCTACCTGTCATCTAGGCTGAGTTCCTGCAAGGTGGAGACAGTTCGTTCACACACACTCTGTAAATATTTGTTGGGGGGAATTAGAGTATGGTCCATTTCCAAGTGTGTGAGACATTGATTTAGCTCCTGCCTTATGAGGAAACATGCTTTATTTCCCCCTGGGTGAAGGCTGACAATAGGGAAGAAGGAACTTTGAGGGAAAAGAATTAGGGGCAGATATATTTTTGATTTGAATGGTGAGACTCATCACATAGGATCTTAGTCCTTTTTTTTTTTTTTTTTTTTTTTTTGTAAAAATAGAATGCCAGTTAGTAAAGGAGTGAAATGGGAAGTAACAGTGAGAATAAAAAAAATCAAGTTGTGACATGTGAGTTATATTTAAAAGAATATTGGAAGAGCAGCGAAGGTCTCATTGACATAAAGTCCTCAGAGAGCCCAAGGGCTCCTGATACAGTGTCTTTGTGCCTACAGAAAGCCACAGAGGACATGGACAGCATGCAACTCTCCAAGCCTGCTTCTTCTACGCCCCGCCTCTTGTGCCAGCTAAGGAGGTGCCAGCTGGGCTGGAGAGATGGCTCAGAGGTCAAGCAGTTGAACTCTTTCAGAGAACCCGAGTTTCATCTCCAGGACCCTAGCTGGGTGGCTCACAACCAGTGGTAACCCTGGCTCCAGGAGATCTTTCTGACCCTCTGGTGTCTGAAGGCACCTGCGCTCGCGCACACACCTATAGTTAAGACGAATGAAAACAAGCCTCAGAGAGGAAGGTATCGGTACCTGGGGGATGTAGAAGAGTCCCAGCAGGTTGGCTACTGCCGTGGAGACCCCCGAGCCGGTTGCGCCCACTACTGCGATCGTGGAAGGGATGTGCTCCGAGCAGTTGCAGAACTCATCCAGGTTCAAAGAATCGATTTTGTTCTGGGCAACAAAACTCAAGGTGGCCTCCAAGGCCTTGGAGACCGTGTTACAGGTGTCGAATATCCTGTATCCCAGCGTCAAGTTGGGAAGAAGGGCGGGGCTGCTGTTTATCTCCTCTATGGCGAAAATCATGGCTTGTAACCACCGGAATCCACGGAAATTGTACCTGGGAGAGAGACAAGAAAGTGGCGGGAACCTGGTCAGTTGTTAGAGTAAGAGCCATCAGAGTTGGGTGTAAATGTCGGCTCCATTGACCTTCGGGTCTGTGATGTGCCCCTGAGGATCAAAGTCCTCTGTGTGAAAACAGGAACACCACTTTCCTTCTAGGCTGGCTTTAAAGGTGTCATGAGATGGCATAGCGCATCCCTTATGAATTAGGGGACAATAGTAACAAAGGGATATTATTGAATAATTTATAGCTGCCTCCTGCATAAAACTTGCAGAGGCTGCTATGAAGGCATGGCTGGGTGTGGTGTTGCACAATAGGCAGGCTGGAGCTGGAAGGTTGTGAGTTTGAGGCCAGTGCTGGGCAACATAGCAAGTCCTTGCCTAAAACAAGCAAGCAAACAAACAAACAACCCAGCGACTGGAACGGGAGCCCTCTCTGACTCTGAGGTCTGCCTTTGGATCTATTCCCCTAACGGGGCTGCCTGCCTTGTTTGGACTTAGTGTGGGAGGATGTGCCTAGTCCGGTGACTTTATGTGCCAGGGTGGGTTGGTCCCCATGGAAGGTTAGTACCCGTGGAGGACCTCCCCTTTCTCTGAATGGGGGGAATGGTGTGTGAGGGGGGCACTTGGAGGAGAGGAGGGAGGGGGCCTTTGATCAGGCTGTAAAATTAATTAATTAATTAATTAATTAATTAATTAATTAATGGAGAAAACAAAAGATTAGAATGAGGGGCCAGGCATTGTGGGACAGGCCTTTAATCTCAGCACTCATGAGGCTGTGACTTTGAAGCCAGCCTGGTCTGCATAGCAAGTCCCAGGACAGCCAGGGCTACACAGTAAGACATTATCTCAAAAAAAAAAAAAAAAAAAAAAAAAAAAAAAAAAAGGCACCAGGGGAATGTAAATAGATTAGGATATTAATACACAGAGCCTAAAAATAACCTCAAGTTTGCAGATTTGTCACAAATTTAGACTGTGACATTCCTAGAGGTTAAAGCAGAAAGTGAAATGAACCTTTTGTAGATAAACATCAGGTAATTGAAGAACCATGTATAGATGCTGGTAGTCCAATCTTAGTAGCTACCCTGCATCTTTTAACTTTAAATTCCTTTTTTAAAGACGAACAACAACAAAAACAGCCAAACAGCTGATATTCGGGGTTCAGTAGAGCATATAGGTCAAAAGAAATTTCTTACAAAAGTTTATGAGGTAAAGTGAGCTTCCATCCATCCATCCATGTTTCATTACTTAATTGATGAATGGATAGATTAATTTTGCAGGGTTGAGGATAGAACACAAGTGCAGTCTGGGAAGGGCCGCACCGCTAGGCTAAATCCCAGCCCTAGTCATTGATTTACTTTTATATTTGTCTGTGGTTTTGAGACAAGGTCCTGCTACTGGGACAGGCTCTTGGTATGTAACCTGGAACTCTCAATCCCCCTGCTTCAGTGATGGAAACGCAGGGTGTGCCGCCCCGATCAGCTCAGCTCCTTCTCAGCCTTGCGCTGGGCGACACCACGGCGGATGCTGTCCCTTCCATAACAACCATCTTCTGGCTACCGGATTACTGGCCCTTGACAGGCCTGGTGTTTTCTATTCCGTATCCTTGGTGGTGTTGTGTATTTTGGAAAAAGAATTCTTTAGGGAAAGAAGAGGAGGGGCCAACAAGCCTCAGCGTGATAACCAGGTGTTTTCAAAAAGAGAGGAAAGGTGTTTAAGGTTCCTTCCGGTCCAGTGCAGCTTTTCTCCGGAGATGGACAGAGCCTCCGTTCAGCCTTCCCTTACCTGATGCACTCCACAGACTCTGGTCTTGACTTCAGGTCTTGATCTTTGGCTGCTACTCCAAAATGGATAGGAAAGAGACCCCCCAGGATAATGTCCCCCTTCTTTTGGGCTCGCTGGTCGGGCCCATAGGCAGACGAGTGCCAGGTGAGAGCCAAAAGGGCCAAACAGCAGCTGTATGATGCCATGGCTCTGCCTTTTCCCCAGGAGGGCAGTCAAAAGTGTTAGCGGTTTGGGAGTCCAAGAACCACCCCCCCTTCCCCCTTGGTGCAGTTCACGCCTTTTTGTGGGGACACATGTTTACAGAGCGGTTAATGGCAGGATAGGAGAGAGGGCGTTTGTTTCTCCATTTTCGCCGCCTCCATTGCAGAGGTGCAGGGTGGTTGGTCCTGGAGTCCTGAGAAGCGGCATCATGTAGAGGCTGCCCGCGGATGCTTTCTAAAAGAAAAGAGACGAAGCGGAGTCAGCTAAACCTCCGTCCCGTCTTAGCACGGTCACAGGGAAAGAAGGGCTCCGGGCGGGAGGCTGAGAAGCACAGCTTAGAATCCCACGGTACTAAGCGTGAGATGCAGAAAGTTTCAGTTGTCTACGCTGCGGGGTTGTATCCAGGTCTGAGAGGCCACAGTCTAAAGAGGCCAGGGATGAGCGCCCCCGGCTCGCTCTGCAGCCGCTGACCGTAAACCGCTCATCCTTCTGCACGGATGAGGCCTGGAAATGTCCCGGAAGCAGCAGCTCCTTCAGTGAAAACACCAAGGCTGCTTCCTTCCCCATGTGTTCCTGCAGAAAACTCAGAACAGGTTACGTTTAAGTTTAAATCTGACTTCAGACCAAGCAAAACTGTCAGAAGAGACCATCGGTTCTCCATCTGTAGCCCCCACCCCTACTAGCGAAGGTTTCCAGTTTGTAATGTAACCAGGCTTTTAAGAACAGTTCCTGTGAAACACAGCATCTTAAAACGGTGGGTCGCAACTCAGTGGGGTCATGCAATAGAATGGGGGATGCTGGAGGTTCAGACCAGGGCCAGCAATTCGGTTCTCTGAGTAAACGTGCTCGCTACACAAAGCTGATGACCCGAGGATCAGAGTTCAATTCTTGACAGTGGAAAATGAGCTCTTAAACACCGATCTTAATATGTGCACATGGGCAAACATGATCAGACCCTCCCTACCCCATACAATTTAAAAAAGGAAGGAAGTGGCAGCAGCAAATATTTTCTGAAGAAGCATCGGCTAGAAATTAATTCCAAATCAAACACGTGATGTATCTGAGGTGCTCCTGGCGGCACTGGCCCAGGCTGTATCATGTGACTTCACCACCACCTTGGTTCTGAGCACATGTGTACTTCGGCGCTAGCCTGCCATCACACTAGGCGACAAACCAATTCTGCTGGAAACACCTTAGCTTGGCTTCAAGGCAATCCCGTGTGCCAACTGCTGTGTTTTATCGACCTGCAAGATTTCCTGCTCTTAAACAGCCACAATGGCTTAGTTGCAGAAAACAGACATTTACTCTTTCTGGATTGCCGTTCCCTGGCATGTACTGAATCATTGTATCTTCAGATTATATTGGGTCAGAGGTTTGATTTTTTTTTTTTTTAAACATTGCCATTCGAGTTGCTGACTTGAGTGTCTTACAAAAACAAAACAAAACGACACAAACAAACAATGCAAAAAAATTTTGGCTTGGGATTGAGGTAGATTTTCACCAATTTCTGAAATGGTCCTAAACAGAATTCTGTCATTTTGTCCTACATATTTACACGAAGTGGCATGTTCAGTGTTGATAATTATAAATCAAAAATCAATGAACTCTTAAGAACATTGAAGATGAGGCACAACTTTCCAGCTGAGATTTAATTTTTCATGTAAAGATAAACAAGCACATCTATTTTGTCAGTAGGCAGATTTGCTGTTGTCTTTAATAAATGTTAAAATTATATGTATTCTAAATGTCCTATAGTTTTTATTTTTAATTCAGGGTCTCTCTCTAGGCCTGGCTGGCCTGGTGCTCTCTCTGTAGACCAGGCTGCCCTCGAACTCACAGAGATCTGCCTGCCCCTGCTTCCTAAGTGCTGGGATCAAAAGTGTGTGGCACCTCACCCAGCTCCCCATTAGCTGCAACTGTCAGCTTGACATAGCCTAGAGTGACCTGAGAGAAAAGTCTTCATTTAGAAATTGCCTATATAAGATTGTCCTGTGGGCATTTATGTGGGAGATTGTGTTGATTACTGATTGAAGCAGGAGGGACCAGCCCACTGTGAATGGCACAGTTTTTAGGCAGGTGGTCCTGGCTGTACAGGAAAGCTAGCTAATTATGAGCAGGAAAGGGAACCAGTAAGCTGCAGCCCTTCCTGGTTCCTGCTCCCGCTTCCTGTCCGGCCCTCCCTCAGTGCAGGACTTTGACCTTCAAGTGTAAGACAAAATATAAACTCTTGCTTCCTTTAAGCTTTTTCCTTCCTTCCTTCTGTTCTTTCGTCTTTCTTTTTTTCAAGACAGGATCTTACTGTGTATCTTAGTGTGTCCTGAAACTCGATCTGTACACCAGGCTGGCCTCAATCTCAGAGATCTGCCTGCCTCTGCCTCCTGAATGCTTGGACTAAAGGCAGACACCACCACCTCCTGGCTCTGTAAGTTGCTTTTGGTCAGAGGTGTCCCTTTCTTTCTTTCTTTCTTTCTTTCTTTCTTTCTTTCTTTCTTTCTTTC